TTCCCTAGGTAGGGTAGATACTTTGGAATAGGAGCTGAGCTATTTAGGACAATAGAGGAGAGTTGAATGCTCCTGTCAGCCACCAACAGGATTAGAGAATAAATATTTGAAGAATAGCGGGTTAAGTCTGCATGGGAATTTGACTGAGTCCATTGGGCTTGATAAATATTTGTTAAGTATGTGAATGAATTATAGAAAACAGGAAGACCTTGTGAATTTTTAAGCAACTGAACAATATGTAAAAATCAACAGTTTAAAAGATTAACTAAGTTCATTGACAGATTAGTGGGGAGAAATGAATTGTATCTTTGGCCGAGAAAAGAGGAAAATGACTTAAAAACAACAACAACAAAATGTAAACGGATAATGACCCTTGTTAAGATCTATATGCCAAAGTGCTGGAGGGGAAAGTCTGTGGTTTATTTTGAAATGAATGCATCAAAAATAAAAAAAATATATTTGCAATGTGTCAAAAAGTAACATGGATTGATAAATGGATAAAGAGAGATGAGATGTGATAAAGTAACTGCAGTAAGATGTGAATGGTAGAATCTAGGTGGTGGATGTGAAATTCTTTCAACTTCACTGTTGGAAAATTTTTATAAGAAAATGGAGAACCGAAGAGAAGAAAATGGAAGTCTAGAAGATTTCAAAGGAAGAGGGCGCCTGGGTGGCTCAGTTGGTTAAGCGACTGCCTTCGGCTCAGGTCATGATCCTGGAGTCCCGGGATCGAGTCCTGCGTCGGGCTCCCTGCTCAGCGGGGAGTCTGCTTCTCCCTCTGACCCTCCTCCCTCTCGTGCTGTCTCTCATTCTCTCTCTCGCAAATAAATAAAATTAAAAAAAAAAAAAAAGATTTCAAAGGAAGAACCCAGTGAGGTTTAAGAGAAGTGATGCTTGCAGGAAAACAAAACAAAACAAAACACATGGGCACTGGAGTCAAACAGACCTGAATTCTGGTCCTGGCTAAGCTGTGTATTCGCTAGAGAGTTTAGATATACCGCCCAGGGGTGGCACTGGGATTTGAATGCGGGCACCCTGGCTCTAGAGCCTTGTCTTCTACCTTGCAGTGCAGCCGTGATTCAAGCTTCTAGCCCAGTGTCTGGCACACGGTAGATTCTCAAATGGTAGCTGTTGCTATTAGTGTACTGTCAGCTGTAGAGAATGAAGAAGCCCACAGGAGTATTTGATCTGGAAGACTTATAGGGCACTATTACACAAGCTGAAAGGTCAAATTGTGGAGAAGAGATGGTTAATTTCGTTTTAGATACGTGGAAGTAGAGATTTTGATATGAACAGTTTCGTGTATTTTTCTAAAGCTTGGTAAATGATTTGCTCACTAAAACTTTAAAAGCATGTTATGTGTTGAGCACTGCTCTAGACTGGTGAGCAAAACACAAAAATCTCTTCCCTCATAGGGTTCTATGTTCTAAAAGAGTTTGAAGAATTAAGGACCTTTCTATCTCAAATGCAGAATGGAAATGCGGACATTCACCAGCGAGAGAAGAAGATGGTGTTTTCACAGCGGACTTCCCTGAGGTCCCTGACATCCTGCTCTATGGGCAGCCCTTTCCTCTGCTTTCTCTGATTTCCTCTGCAGTTCTTTTGCCTTCCATCTGGAATTGGTGGAACAGCTTATATAAGCTATTTATGTTTAAGTTTCAAAATATCTGTCCAGGCCTCTAAAATGGCCCAGACAGGAACAATAACAGTTGCTTCTCACAGGGTATCCAGGGCAGAGAAGACGGAGATGAAATTCATGATATTCCACGTAAAACAGAGGACACAAAGATCTCCTTTCTGGACACACACACACACACACACACACACACACACACACGAATCCTGCACTTGAGCCAGGCTCGGACTCCAGCACCCTTGCAGGGTGTTCCTCAGCGATTACGCACTCCTTCCCACAGGGTAGGAGGTCAGTTAGTAAAAGTATTCATTGAGCCAGACCCTCCTCTGCTTCTGAGTCATGTTCTGGTGCGGCAGGAAGGTTCTCAGGGAGAAGCTTTAACTCTTTCATATCACAGAGTTCACTTCTCAGTGTAATAGGGTCTCTCTCTCTCACATCCTAGAGATCTTATGCTAATTCTTTCTTTAACATTTCAGATAATGAGGTAATATATTTAGTCTGAGAGTGAGATGGAATTTGAGAAAATGTACTAGAAGGAGGATAATAATATCCACCATGGCCCAGCCTTGAGTTGTGTTAATAATATGTGGATGGCTAAGAGGTTTGCAAAATATTATGCTTGTTTAAAAAAAAAATGTATGACACCACCCTTACATGGAAATCTGACATCTGGCAATGTCAGCCATTTGGAGGACAGCCAGAAAATAAGAAAGGGGCCTCAGAGCACATGAAAAATAACTGTTGAAAAACTCTAACACATGTAGTTTACCACCACAGAAGAGTTTGTTAGCGTTTCCTTAGGAGCTTGTTTACTTTTTATGTATCTGGGAACTTCTAATAACTTGGGCGGCGTCTGTGTGGTCTTCTCTCCCCAGCAGAGAACAAACAGCAATCTAGAAAGAGGGTAGAAAAGCTGACCGAGGAGATAACTGATAGCAGAAAGACCCAAAAGTTATACAGTCCTGGTGTTATGCATCACTTCATGGTATAGTAATGTGTGGTCTTAATAATGAACTTGCATCCATCAGTCAAGGAATAAATTAGGTTCAGTGTCTTCCCGTTGCAGAAGGCAGAGAGGTATATAATGTGTCTAGTTTTAAACGTGGTCAAAGCTAAACCAGGTTTTGACATGTTGAAATGGTCAATTCTGTGGTGCTTCTGTACTTGAAATAGCACTTTCTCTGGTGATGATGTATCAGTGAGACAGACTTGAGCTTGTAGCTGATTATGGAAATACTGTTTAATAACCGCTAGCATTTATGAGCACCTCCTGTACCAGCCCCATGCTAGGTGCTTTCACACCAGCATCATCTTGTCTCTTTGGGGACAGATCTGTGTTTCCATTTCCATTCCATCTCTGACTTACTGCGTGACCTTGCACAGATTACATCACTTCTCTGAGCCTGTGTCCACATCTGCAAAATGGAAACCAATAATACACGATAGGATTGTTGTGAGGACTCAATGGAGGAAGTACATAGAACAGTGCGTGGCACATAGTTAAGTGCTCAGGAAATACTAGGCATTGTTGTAATTATTTTGATCAATATCATAATCCTCTTGATGATGAATATGAATGTATAATTATCCCCATTTTTCTGAACAGGAAACTAACCCAGAGAGTTTAAGGAGTATGTCCAAGGTGAAATAACTAATAAACAGTGCAGCTGGCATTTGAACCTTGGTCTCTGACTCCAGACATCTGGTTACTTTGCATTCACATTAAGCTGCCTTCTCAGCATGTGATTATAATTAGACTTTTATACTTAAAGAAAATACATGGTAGGAAAGCGCAGAGGATGTGGGGAATGTTACTGGCCACTTCTCTTTTCCACTGTGCACCCAAGTCATCTCATTATAGAAAAAAGTTCCAGTAACACAAAGATAAGCAACTTTTACTCAACAGTACACATTACATATGCAGTGTTGAACTGGGTTGCATGATTCATTAAAATCTTAAAGGTACCCCACATTAATATATTCAGTTATTCATCATATGCCTAACATATTTGTCCACATCACTGTTTTCTTAGATAATAAACTCAATGGAGCTATAACCATGGTTTGTTTTTCTTTTTAGCGCTTTTTGATATCATCATAGTTATATGTGAGATGAAAGTTAGAATCCTCATCGCTAACAACACCAGATAGATACTAGAGGTAAATAAAGGAGAATAGACTTGAGGCCTGGACACTCTGGAGAGTGTCAGCTTCTCCACTCGAAAGACCTAGGGAGAGAGGCTGCTAATCGTGGCTGATTGGTTACAGGTGAGCACATGCCTGCTAGTTCCTCCCCCCTTTTTTTATTCATTTTTTTTTTTAAAGATTTTATTTATTTATTTGACAGAGAGAGACACAGCGAGAGAGGGAACACAAGCAGGGGGAGTGGGAGAGGGAGAAGCAGGCTTCCCGCGGAGCAGGGAGCCCGATGTGGGGCTCGATCCCAGGACCCTGGGATCACTACCTGAGCCGAAGGCAGACGCTTAACGACTGAGCCACCCAGGTGCCCCTAGTTCCTCCCTTTCTGTGGCTTAAACACGTACTTAGGCTCCCCAGGCACACATATCAAGGTAAGAGAGACATCAACTTAGCACAGCACAGACTCCATAACTGTGAGGATACTATGCAAGCCTGGGCCATGGGTGTCTTTGAGCTGAAAACACATTCTTGGTCTGGTGTGGTGTATGTACCAGATCTTGTCTGGAGGTGTCATTTTTATAACATCCTTTCTTGTTCTTTTCATGGATTTTTACTTTTCAGTATGTTTTAAATCTCTGCCTTTGAGGTGTGATCCCACATTCCTTTTTTTTTTTTTTTTCCAGTAGGTAGGAGTCAGGCTGCCCTGGGCCTGAATCCTGGTCCTGCTGTTATGAACTCTATGATCTTAGACAAATTAAGTTTTCCAACTTGCTGAGCATAAGTATCCTAATCTTTAAGATAGTTCTGGGGAAATAAATGAAATGCCATATTTAAAATCCCTGCTTTTTAAATACCACATCTTAAAAGTACCATATTGCCTGTACTTGAAAAATGTTAATTTTTCCTTATTGCCCTCTTCAGGCATATTGAGAAATCTGCATTTCCCAACTTTGTACCTTTTCTGTCACTCATAGGTAAAGGTCACTTTTTTCCCCCCAGTTCCAGAATTGCCTTGAGAATCGAATGAAAAATGTATGAGGAAACTATTGTTTTTGTGAGATAGTACCTTAATTTCTTTAAAGTAGAAAGTACAAACTTCTTACTTGCTTAGCTTTGACGTGATTCTAAGTGTCTATCTTAAGCTTTATCATTCTCAAGATATGGACCTATATTCCAATAGGTTAAATAGTTACACTTTCCAATTTCTTTTGACCTGTCTTTCCAGGTCGTAAAACATGGAGGCTGGTTCAGTGGTTCGAGCCATCTTTGACTTCTGCCCTAGTGTGTCCGAAGAACTACCGCTCTTCGTGGGAGATGTCATTGAGGTGTTGGCAGTGGTGGATGAATTTTGGCTTCTAGGAAAGAAAGAGGATGTTACAGGTAAGAGGCTCCTAATTCCTCGGATACAGAATAGACCACAAGCCCTCCCTTCTTTCCATATTAAAAATAAAGGTTAAATGGGAAGCCCAAGTCCATAAACTTCAGAGTCCTTTGTGTTTTTTTGTTACGTCTTTACTGTGGTTTCTACCAGTGAGGAGAGAATGTTTGTTATCGTTCCATCTCTCCTTATGGGTTCCTTCCAAAGGTTAAGATGGTTTGATACCAGCTGTCCCCAGCCCAGTTGTCTGTTCACATATTTACCTCCCCTCCCTGGGTCTTTATCCTTTGTGCTCAGCGTCATTGCTTTCCTTCTGAAAATACATGTTACTTCTTTATTCAGAACCCTGTTGTTTGCCTTTACTTTTCACTACCAGTCTTTATTTCTGATTTATGGAACTTAAGTCAGTCTCCCCCATGTTTTGTCTGGCTGTCTTCCTCAAACATTTTCTACCCTTTCTTCTACTCTTTTCAAGAGAGCATGATGCATCCTGTTCACTCCTTCCCAGATCCGTGGTCAGTCCAAATCAGTATTAAAGCTTCAGCTGCCCTTGGCAGTTTCCTTTCTTTTAGTCTTTAAAGTCTATGTTTTTTTTTTTTTTTAAAGATTTTATTTATTTATTTGAGAGAGTGAGAATGAGAGAGAGTACATGAGAGGGGGGAGGGTCAGAGGGAGAAGCAGACTCCCTGCCGAGCAGAGAACCCGATGTGGGATTCGATCCAGACACTCCAGGATCATGACCTGAGCTGAAGGCAGTCGCTTAACCAGCTGAGCCACCCAGGCGCCCTAGTCTTTAAAGTCTATGTTAGCACCCGTTTCTTTCATTCATTAGCCTAGGGAAGGGTGGAAGTTTTTCCCCCACACTGTGCACCTGTGTTAAATCCAGTCCTTGACTTACATATATTTATGTAAGTCTGAGCTGGAGTTTGTTACATAGTCCTTCAAACAGACTCTGTTGACACTTACCCACATTTGGGCAATAATAGATTATTTCCCAGTAGAAATGATAGCTCAGCTAAGACAAAAATGATGAATAAGAGTTGGAAAGGCGAAGAGGATAGACAGAATTGCTTGTCCAAAGGTCCTGGGCTGACAACATGGAGGCTCTGAGAAGAGTTGAGCGTGGCATGCGTGTGAAAGGTTGAGGGGGCAGAATGTGCTGGGCAGACTAGAAGGAGCTGGATCGCGGGGGACAGAGGCTGCCATGGTAAGGAGTTACAGAATGGGGTAAGAATACAGGTGCTTTATACATCCGATGTGTAGTTGAGAAAGCTCGCTACTGCGGACTGGGAAATGATAGGAAAGGGCAGAGCCAGGGGCAGGGAGGCCTACTGGGAGGTTGTTGCCATAACCCAGGTAAGACATGCTGCTGTCTTGGACCAGGTGGTGGGTCTGGAGATAAGTGGAGGATACAAGAGACATCTAGAAGGTGGGATCCACTTCCTGGTGCTTTCCAACCGACAGGCCCTGTCTATCTACTACTGTCTATTAAAACCCTACCCATCTCCGGACTCAAATGCAAGCTTTCTCGTAAAAATTTTCATGTTCTTCCTGAAAGACTTTCTACCTTCTCTACCTTCCGCAGCAATTTGCGCACCTCCATTGTGTCACTAGATTTCCGAATGGAATTATTGCTTATGCCTGAATTAGATTTTAAGATCTTTGAGGGCCAAGACTGTCTTACCTGTTTTTCCCTCTGCACTGCGCCCTGTGTAGAGTGGCCCCCAATTAACGCTAATTAGATCGAATTGCATTCTCTGTGCTCTGCATGCATTAAATTTTGTGCACTGTACTTTTTCTATAGTAGATTCTCCAATTATGAGTACTCGGTTTTCAATTCAATGTCTGTAAATGGGCTCAGAAAAAAAAGCGATTTTGTCCTGGGACACAGACGGAAAATGAGATTCCAGTATTAGAAATGTTTGCTTTCGTTTCAGGGCAGTTCCCCAGCAGTTTTGTGGAAACTGTGACCATTCCCAGTCTAAAAGCAGGAGAGAGGCTGTTTGTCTGTGTCTGTGAATTTACATCCCAAGAATTGAACAGTCTTCCCCTCCATCGAGGTAAGTTGGCCATTCAAGAGTAGACTGTTTAATTTTTTTAAAAGATTATTTATTTATTTATTATTTATTTATTTGATAGAGAATGAGCACGAGCAGGGGGAGCGGCAGGCAGAGGGAGGAGCAGGCTCCCCGCTGAGCAGGGAAGCCTGATGCAGGGCTCGATCCCAGGACCCTGAGATCATGACCTGAGCTGAAGGCAGACACCTAACCGACTGAGCCACCCAGGCGCCCCAAGAGTAGACTGTTTAAAATAAGATTAGTTGGGGCGCCTGGGTGGCTTAGTTAAGCATTTGACCCTTGATTTCGGCTCCTATCATGATCTCAGGGTTGTGAGATGGAGCCCCACGTCGGGCTCCATGCTCAGTGGGGAGTCTGCTTCGGTCTCTCTCTTTCCCTCTGCCCCTCCCCACTTGCTCACTCTTTCTCTCTCTCTCTCTAAAAAAAATAAAAAAATAAGAAAAATAGAATTAGTGGAGTTGTTACATTTTGACAATTAGGTCTTTTTTTTTTAATTTTTAAAAGTGGCTAACCTCTGGCGAGTAATAGCAAGATTGTGCTGACAATAATGCCTTATATTTGCATAGCATTTTATAATTTGCATAGCATTTTATAATTTGCATAGCATTTTCTCACAGATACATTCTCATCTGAGCCTCACCACAGTTTTGGGAGGTAGCAAAGTAGATATTATTAACTGCATTTAAGAAATAATGAAAATGAGATTCAAGGAATGTTACCTGCAGGTGAGAACTTTTGGCCTCAGAAAGTAAAGTCATGTCACCTGATTGAGTATAAGCCCAGCATTCTCTTTCCCCTGCCCCATATTGTAGCCACACTTCAGACTACATTTATCTTTTTTTCCCTTAAAAACTGATACGACTTTGCTAGCAACATTACTATAAATGTATGAGAGTCAAGGAGGAATTGTTGGTATGGTGATTAAGAGATAAATATAAAACAGCCCCATTTGACTCCCTGCCATTAGGTAATGTTACCTTAAAGTTCTCATCAGAACCAGTTTAAAAGGAAGTGGTTTAAAGTGAATAGTCTTAGCCATGTCCCAGTGACATTCCAAGTATTTCTCACTTCACTCTGATAGACATATGAACTTCTAAAGACGGATGATAAACCATTTTTCACCAAATATACTTAAGTCCACACATTTCTGAATAAGCACAAAAACCAGTAGTATTCCACAAACTGATGTTTATGATCAGTGTGATGTGAGGACAGCCAGCAAAATGGTAGAATTTATTGGGCATGTAATTGTTACTTGTTCTTTTGAGTATGGCTGTCAAGGGATAGGCTTAATTTCTTAAGCCACATATGAGAGAGACAGAGCAGAGGTGGAGAAACAGAAGAGCCTAGCCTACTTCCCTAACCCGTAGTCAGGGAGAAGAAGGGATATTGGATTTGGATCTTCATCCTCAAAATCTATTTTGAGAGTTTCTTGCACTTCACTTTACACTGACCCTCTACCTCTTTTCTGAACACTTCCTCATTAATCAGTGTTGGGAAGGAAGGGAGAAATAGATGAAGATGTTATAGCAGGGAACTTTGATCTGTCCCTACTCAGAGCCCTCCCCCTGGGGGGGCTGTAGTTCATGTCAGACCAGAGGGAGTGGGGAAAGGGCCGCAGAGCACAGTGGCTTCCATCAGAGCTAGGCAGAGGACTTGGGTGGCATGGATTTGTCCTTTCCTGTACCTGGTTCCTGGAGCAAATAGTGGGCATAAGAAAATACTCTGTAGGAATATGCACTATGTCTACGACATTTGGGGAATCTGAGAATGTGGCTTCTGGAATTAGCATTTTTTGCTTCATAATTGTATCTTGTATTGTCAAGTCTTAGATACTAAAAAGAGAGATTTTCTGCTAAATGCCTTCCTTGGGAACACTGGTCTCATGGGTTGTTCTGAACTTGCTTTGAAGTTAAAATTCACATCAGCAATCCCAGGCCCACCAACTAGATTTCTCAGAAAGACCAAAAAGCATGGACCTTTCACCCATGAGCCTCCTGACTCTTGAGCTTGAGACTGACTCAAGCTCAGGCTGGGTCCTGGAATCTGTAGATGTTATCTTCACTAGTTTTTAAGCAAAGGAAGAGGATGCAGCAGAGGCGATACGTAGGAAGCGACTAGAAAGAGGTATGCTAACTGTCAGTGGTTTGATCTTGTTCTCTTCCCTGATGCTCTCCTGCCAGTAAGTGGAGACTATTCAGCTCTCTTTCCTTCTGTGCTTCTCACACCTCTTTCAGCTCTGTGTCTTCTGATTTGAACACATAAGGCTTTGAGAATGGGGAAGTTAGATGTATCTCTGCAATTTGTCTTTTTCTGGGAAGTTTAGCATGAGACACAGAAATGATATTAACTTCTCTAGTTTTCTGTACGTGACAGTCCACATTAACAGATAATAATGTTACTAGTTGGGAACACAATCAGTAAAAATGAAAGTATTGTTTTATACCACATGTAGTAGACTTGAGTCTGCGCTTTCTGATTTTCAAGTCTAGTGCTTGGAATGGCCCTTCTACTTCTTAGACTGAAAATTGTTTTTCCCATTAGGTCAGTGTCCCAGCTCATGACTAGCATACGTTCCTCTACCCCTGTCTTCTAGTACTGTTAATCCTGTTGTTTCTTTCTCTCTCCTTAGTACCTTCAGTATAGTAGTGAAGCTTCTCCCGTTCTGTGTAAATAAAACTTTTGGTGATTTAATATGTCAGGAGGGGATTTGAAAACCTCAAGAGCATGTGGGATGATGTTTGAGACCTGTTTTGTTTTACCATGCTGCCTTTAGTTAATTGTTACCTACTTACCTTTCAAAAATATCATTGGGGTTAAATTATTTTTTAAATATTTATTTATTTGAGAGAGAGAGAGACACCACAAGCAAGGGGGAGGGACAGAGGGAGAAGCAGACTCCCTGCTGAGCAGGGAGCCCGAAGCAGGGCTCAATCCCAGGACCCTGGGATCATGACCTGAGCCGAAGGCAGATGCTTAACTGACTGAGCCACCCAGGTGCCCTGAAAAAATGATATATTTTAATTGTAAAATTGTATTATTAAAGAAATATATGTATTTAGATATATTTAGAGCAGGCAGTATAGCTTAGGGGGTAAGAATTCTGAGGGCTCTAGATTTATTTTTTATTTTTATTAAATGAATTCTTTTTATTGTAAACAAATGTCTAAATTTTTCCACCCACTTTCTTTAGAAAGAAAAAGAAATCAGCAGGCTAAGGAGATACCCATTCAAGAACTGACATGATTAAAAATTAAGATATAAATGGGTGACTCTCAATGACATTAGCTTACAAAGATGGTGGAGTAAACTACTACAAGCACACTAGTTATACAGTATTTTGTGGGAGAAGGGCATACAGACATAGCTAACTTCATATAGATCCCATTAGACAACTGGATTTACAACAAGTTTTTTTCATAAGAAATGGGCAAAGCCAGCTTTCTTTTCAGAATCAAAATGCAGAACAAATGGAAAAAGTATGGTATTGAACCTTCACAAGTTTGAGCCTCCACAAATAATGCAACCAAGTTTTACATTTTTAACAGCCCTTCTACATACACTCCATCTTCTCTATCTTGGTTCCGAGTTTTATCTTCATTCCCAGTTATGCCAGTTCCATTGTTATTTAAAAAAAGAAGAAGCCTTCCCAGTTATTGTCGAAACTACTCTTAAGCCTTCCCCCTCCACTACTCAGCAAACTACAGAGAGGGCCCTAGATTTAAATCCAACTCCACAACTTAGTCGCTGTGACCTTAGGCTAGTTACTTGCATTCTCTCCACCTCAGTAGGATAGTAATACCTAACTCAGGTAGTTGTGAGGACTGAATGAGGTCATACACGTATGGCATCTGGCACACGGTAAGCATGCAGTAAAGATGAGCTATCTTTATTATTCTTAACCTGGGATTCCTGGACTTCATAGATGTGCTTTGGGGGGTCTGGTTTCTTGATCTTCACGGGAAGGTTTGTGTGTGTGGACATTCTTCCAGGGAGATTCTATCTGGAATTGGAATCACCAGTAGTCCTTCCAGCAGGTGTCACTCTTTCTCCTTTCCACAAAGCTGTCCAATTGTTTTGGACTGTTTCTTGTCTTTTAAGTTATATTTAAACTCAGAGACAAGGCTGTCTTTGTATGTCTTCTTTGGGAAAACGTCTATTCAGACCCTCTGCCCGGGTTTTAATCAGATTGTTTGTTTTTTTGGTGTTGGGTTGTAGAAGTTCTTTATATATTTTGGATATTAACCCCTTATTGGAACTATTATTTGCAAATATCTTCTCCCATTCAGTAACTTTTTATTTTGTTGATGGTTTCATTCGCTGTGCAAAAGCTTTTTATTTTGATGTAGTTCCAACAGACACACGGAAAGATGCTCAACATTATTAGGGAAATGCAGATCAAAACCACAATGAGATATCACCTTATACCTGTCAGAATGGCTAAAATAAAAAAACAAAAAACAAAAACAAGAAATAACAAGTCTTGGCGAGGATGTAGAAAAAAAGGAACTCTTGTACACTGTTGGTGGGAATGTAAATTGGTACAGCTACTGTGGAAAATAGTATGAAAGTTCCTCAAAAAATTAAAAATAGGGGCGCCTGGGTGGCTCACTCGGTTAAGTCTCTGACTCTTGGTATGGCTTAGGTCTTGATCTCAGGGTTGTGAGATGGGCTGGGTTCCACACTGGGCCTGGAGCCTGCTTAAGGTTCTCTCTTTCCTTCTCCCTCTGCTCACCACCCCACTCAGGTGCACACACGTGCTCTCTCAAAATAAATAAGAGAGAAAGAAAGAAAGAGTGGAAGGAAAGAAGGAAGGAAGATACCATATGACCCAGTAATTTCAATAATTTACCTAAAGGAAATGAAAACACTGGGGTACCTGGGTGGCTCAGTAGATTGAATGTCAGGCTCTTGGTTTTGGCGCATGTCGTGATATCAGGGTCATGGGATTGAGCCCCAAGTTGGGTTCTGCACTCCTTGTG